TTTTTTTTTTTTTTTTTTTCTCCGATGAAGTTGCTAGCGTTATCATTTTTGTCTGTCTTAATAAGACAATTTTCTGTTCTTTTAAGCTGGGGTTCTTTCAATGTGTTGTTTTGTTCCATTTTATAATTCCAAGTGCAATCGTTCTTATTCTTGTTTCAATTTCACATTTTTTCTATTTCAATTTCCAAGGTCTTTTGTATTTTGATAGTTTTTCAAATTCCTTGGTTTATTTATCCGCTGGACAAGCCATATTATTTTTTTCTTTCTGGTTTTTTTGATTAATGTATTTTGCTTCAATTTTTCTGTCTAATATTATTATTTCTGTAACCGGCGCTCTAGTTCATACTATATAATGCTTACACATTTTCCAAAGTGTTTGCACATTGTCCAGTAAAATTGCCCCAAAAATCGTGACGATTTTTATATTCATTTAAAAAGTATTTCCTGAGATTAATGGTCCTATTGTTTCTTGGTATTTGTCACAGAACCTGCATTTTGGATCCATATCTGAAAAATTTTTAAGATTCTTTTTAAATCTTAAACTTTAATCCAGATGCTCGTAACCATATATATTATTTATATTGGGTTTATTTGCATATATTGGCCATATTTGTATATATATATCCTTGGCTATAATAGTATATATATATATATATATATTATAATATTTTTTCTTTTCTGTTTTCATATATTTTATCATCCAGTCATTTGTTGTTTCCATGTAAGTTAGTAAGCCAAAAAGTATTTCTGCTGAATAAGACCTCTTCCACCTTCTTTACGGGGTATGTATAGATCAGGATGAGTCTTATACTTAGAAAAATGCTTTCTTGTTTTAGAATTTGTATTATTATTCTAGTTATATTCTGTATATAAAAATAATTTATCAATATTTTATTTTAATATTGAGTAGTATATGAAAATATCTGCTTTATTTTAAATTTAAATATATATATATATATATATATATATATATATATATATATATATATATATATATATATATATATATACAGGATTGAAAAAGTATTTCTGTGGCATATTTGATAAATCTGCAATTATTGCAAAATATAATCGTTTAATCTTAAGGCTCACATAGTTAATATTCAGTATTGAATTAACTCATTTGACAAATAAGTATGTACTTACACACACACACAGACACACACACACACACACACACATATATATGTGCAATACATTATATATATATATATATATATATATATATATAATGTATTGCACATATAGTGCTGGTGTTAAAAAACAGTGCTCGATCTAATATAACCGATCTGTTAAGTATATATTAATAAATATACATATTATCCCTTCAATCTTCAGGTATTGATGACAGTTAGGAATGATGTCAATATTTGTATATTGTAAGTCATTCTATTTTATTTTTGCTATTAGCTCATCATTCAGTTCTTCCTTTTGTTCCTTTCTTTTCTTTCACTCTCTCCCCCACCTTTCCTCCTCTCTCTCTCCCCCTCTCTCTTTCCCTCTCCCTCTATATTATTTAAAAAAATATATATTTGGAATTGTTTATTTTTCTTTCTTTTTTACTATAATTTATATATATTTATATATATATTTTCTATATATTTTTATATATTTTATATATATATATATAATATATATATTTTCTGTATATAATATATATAATATATTTTATATGTTTATATATATATATGTTCTATATATAATATATATATGTAATATATATATATATTTATATTTTATATAAATATATATATTTTATATATATATATATATATATATATATATATATATATATATATATATATAAATATATATCTTTTTGATATATATATATATATATATATATATATATATATATATATAGGGGTTGTGTGTAATATCGCTCATTGAGTGCTAGTGTTAATAAAATTGTGCTCAATAACACTTCTATATATTACATAATAAATAAAATAATATAATACATTTTTTTTTTCCTCACCGGTAGCAAAACTGAATTTCATGCACAACGCGATCTTCAGATGATGAGTTTAAACTGACCGTTACATAATATATATATATATATATATATATATATATATATATAGAATAGAAATCCAAATTTACCTCATTCGAATAGCTATTTCAACCAACAAGTAGACATATTTTACCATTGACAATTCAGAAGTGTGAAGGAATAAAATAGAAACTTAAAATTTAAACATTTAAAAGATAAAGAAGAAGAGAAAATGGAAAAAAGTAAAAGAAAAAAGAAGAGAAAGAAGAAAAGAAATGAAGGGGGAGGTAGCCGATGAAAATATAGACATTATGTTAAACCCACTACCAGTATCATGTGAGGGGGAGGGGAAAGTGTCTGACTCAAAGTTAATATAAAGTTAATATAACCATGACCATGTCCTATAGTTTTAGATATTAGCATCCCAAGCCCATATACATATAATAATAATAATAATAATAATAATAATAATAATAATAATAATAATCAAGGTAAACCGCCAGAAAACCCACACAAGTGATTTGATTAAAGTGGTGAAGGCTTGTGCAGAACCATCCACACTTTTCGGAACTATTGATACGCTTAATCGGTGCAAATAAATGCC